ACGGGAATTGAAGGCTCTTAGGCGGCCAGATTTCAGACAGTAATTTTGACGTATAGAAACGGCCAATTGACAAGTGGTGTAGAAGGCAGGCTGGATTAAGGTCACAAGCCCTGCAAACGGCACCTGGGAGCAGTGGTGAAGATTATTACGCTTTACCAAAACCACTTGTAGCATCTTCTTGAAAAGTTTTAAATGTGCTGATGATGTCTTAAAAAAGTTTGGAAATGTACCTAGTCAATAGTCCGCTGCTGCAAATCGCGAGTACTATAGCAAATAACACATGATTAGGTAGGTTCCACAAATCCTCCCTAACGCTTCGATCAAGTTGCGAAAACGAGATAGAACCAACACTGAAAATAAGTAATCCAGTCGAATTTTACAGCAAATATAACTTTTCTTCATCGATAATCCCACCAAAGAATGTGAAATGGAAAAATGTCTAGCCTTCCTTGAAATTCACAAATTTCGTGTGACTCAAACACGCTCATAGCAATGTAGCTTAGGGACTAGCATGTCGAGATTACATACTGCGCCGTCATGGTCTGAATTCCGCTAAGCGTGTTGGAAAGACCTCAGCGCGGTCAAAAATGCCGCCCAATCTGGATGAGGATACCTTTTGGTGGCTATTTTAAATTAAATGAAAGGTTCCACTTTACTCATATCATTATGGAAAAATCAAGCTGCCAGTCCTTCATCAGCTTAAACAAAATAGTGAATGCAATTCATGAAATAGTTTACTCTGGGATAATGCTTAGCGATATTTACAAACTTTAGTATAGAAAAATAAACTGAATTTGGAATGAAAATGAAATGAGTAAGGGTACGGAATAATAACATTGTAGCAGATAACTTATTGGTAACTATAACTCTGAGTTAAAATCATATAATAAATGAAGATTACCTGATTTGGTATAACCGTTGGAATTTGAGTACTAGAATAATCCCCAGCCAGACTACGAGAAGGCAGTTGACGACGAGCAGTATGACGTCCCTCAACAAACGAGCTAGGTGGTCTGTGGTAAACACTAGCAAGGCTGGCTAGGTGACAGATTAATTCATCCAAGAGACTGGATTCAAGGAGGTCTGTTTCTTCGGAAATCAAAGGTTTTTCTGCCAAAACGACTTCTTTTGCTGCAGCAGGATCAGTTGAGAGTAAGCGCCAATAAATATACCCCCGATCGCGTAAATCAGGATTATCTGATTCTTGGGTGGCGAGGCCTAGTACGGATTGAACCAGCTCCTAAAAAATGACAAAAAGCATCTGATGAAAAAGAACATCAAGGAGATACAAGAAAGTGTTTCAGAAGTACTGCATACGTACTTGTGTATCAGAAGGTCTTTTCAAAAATAGCTTCACAATTGCTGTAAGCAACTGTAATTGAACTTGTGTTGTCTCATCTTGGAATCCGTCAAGGAAGGAGCTTAATAGCTCATCTGCATTATCTATACGTTCAGCATATTCACCAATGATCCAAATCATAGAGCCTCGGGCTTCTGGCTCATCTAGAGAATCAAGATTGTCGCAGAGCGTGGCAATGATGCTCTCGTACTTATTTGGATATTTTCGAAAGATATCCTATGCAACAAAAAATAATAGGCTTATGTAGGGAAGGCGGACTTCACCTTGCAGGTAAGACAAAGAACTGACAAAACTAACTTTGATAACGACAATAGCCTCTTGGACAACATAGTTGACCTTAGTCTGGATGAGATCAATAAGTGTGCTGACACATCTTTCAGCAGATGCTTCGACTTTGATGGCACAGCGGCCGATCGCACGAACTGCTTTCCTCACGAAATCAACATCAACTTCTTTGGCGTACTCTTTAAGCTCTGCGAGCACTTGGCCGATATTCGACGAGTTAGTCAGTCGTATCATTATATCGAGCTTCTCCAGTTTCACGTAAATTGGATCGTTATATTTGACAAAGAATACCTTGAAAATTCAGGAGAAAAAAAACTAGAATCAACAATACAATATGCGTTTCAATAATTATGTAGTCACAATATACCTTCATTTCGTGTTTCAGAATCTCCTTTCGCTTTTGTACGATTAAATTAATATTTCGTAGAGCAACATATTGAATCTCAGGCTCAGCAGAGAGCAATGTCACCAGAGGAGGAGCAAGTTTCTTCGTTACACTCGCCACTATATCAGCACTTGGATCAATCATTTCCAGTACTTTCATCATAACTTTAACAGCAGAAAGAACAACTGCAGCATTTGCATGCGCAAGGCGCGGAGAGACTCGTTCCATTATGCTCTGAGCTTCCCGATCATCCGAAGGCAAATAGTCAGAAATAGCATCAAGAATAAAAACCTGCCCCCATCTGATACATCGTATTAATGTAATTAACGCTCTTACTCGGTACACTCATTAAGTGCAGTCAACAGTTTGTTGATTACTGTTCCATCAAAAGCTAGGAGAGCTTTGGTTGAATCGGAATCCGTCGTCTCGATAATTTCGGTAATCGCAGCAACCGCGTTGGCCACGACCATAGGATTGCTATCAGATAATAGGTCTCGAAGCAAATCCAAAAAACCACTATCCTCAACCAACTGAGGATCAATATCATATAGTTTAGCAACGCATATGGAGGCAGTTTTTCTTACGTAAGGATCCTCATCTTTTAGACACTTTCGCAAAGGATCGCAATGGTATGCAGTTATTTTTTCAACACGAATGCATCCCATTGTCCTAACAGCCAGGGCTCTGATAAGCGGGTTTGGGTCATCACAATCCTAATGTAAGAACAATGGATACTCACCTTCACGAAAGTGTTCACCGCCATGATTGCCGCATCTGGCTGAGTTTTCGCATAATTCATAAGATAAAGATAAACTAGTTTTTTAAGCTCCAAATTGTCTGTTTGCATGCAATTAATGACGTCAGGGAACAATGCGCTGAAGTTAAAATAATAGAGAGTACCTAACATCTTTTCCAACGGTCATACTAGCTATCACCTTCTTAACGGCTTCTTTTTTTCTGTCCTTTTTTTCGCTATTTAATTCGGCCTTAAGCTCAAATATTTCACCAGGCATGTAAAAAATAAGCATAGCCTACCTCTCTTTGTGGTAGTAAAATACTTAGCATCAGTAGTTTTAGTCTGAGTGGCGACTTTCTGAAGCCATGGCCTTTTAAATATAAGAAAACAGGTGATTACTTTAGGTTTCCTAACGTATCGGAGACAGACGCCGCAACCCCCTGCATAATTGAAGATTAAGGAGGCAGATTAGGTGGCAAAATGATCAAACTCATTTTTAAAAAGTAAGAATTTTTTTCGTTTTTTATAATTATTTAATATTATATACGTTTAAACCATTTTATAAAAAAAATCCTTAGCTTTCAAGTTAATTGATTATTTAGAATTAAAAAATACTATGGTTGAAT